CGCCTCTCGAGTGAGACCATGTTGGGCGATTTTTTCGTCATTTTTCGAAACTTTGAAAAATTTTTAAAAAAAAACTGGACGGTAAACCTCTCCCAAAAAACTTCTTTGTATGCACAAGACTTGAAAGAACATTTTCATTCGATATAACGATAAAAATTAGAGCAGTCCTTCAATCCCTGTCTCTTATACACATCTAGATGTGTATAAGAGACAGGTTGTAACTTTACAAAACATAGTTTTTCACCATTTTTTTCAGGAATTTTTCAAAGCAAGTAAATGTAGTATTTTTCGACTTCCTTTATACTAGATAGATAGGAAAAATAGTTACGTTTATGCCACTATTTTTAGTTTTGCGATATTCCAATTAGTTTCGCTACTACAACAGTTTTACGCCGTGTCATAGGCCTGTCCCGAGTAGCCCCGCTTGTCCCGAGTAGCCCCGGTTGATGGTACTCTTATTTTGAAAAATTTCAAATTTCTTGTCTGTTGATCCTTAGAACTTTTGTTGTTGTTGACCAACGGGGTCTGTTTATTTAGTACCCTATTGTGTCTTGTGAGGGCCTAATGTGATGCTAACCAGCTAGTGTGCTGTGGAATCACTGGAATGGTCTGTTCACTCTGTTGATTGGTCCAAAATCTCAAAATACTAAGTTTTTAAATTAACAATAGCAGGGTAAACACACCATATTCCAACACTTTAAGGTTGCAGCAAGAAATGAATGGCTATAAAAATATAACCATGTGCGCAACTTGCATTCTGATTGCTTTACGTCACTCTCAAAACACCACCCTATGCGCCAGCAATGGTGAAATGTCACAAACTGTTGCCATATTTATATAAAAGCCTTTAGAATTGGAAATCTACAAAATTGCTGAATTCCGACGCTGTGTGTGATAAAATTAGGCATATTGTGAGAATAATTCTGATGTCACGGAAATGCGCAGTGTGATGTAATTAGACTTGTGGACAGAGCGCTTAAAAACCGTAATTCGTAACTCCGACGCCCTGTGTGAGCTGTATTGGAATACAGCACAGTTTGGAATGAGCTGTGTGTGTCTAATTTGGAGGTGTATCAGAATGAATTTTTATGTGTCTAAAACTGTCTCTTAACTTAATAATCTATTAAGTTATTAACCACTTAAAATTAGCAAATATAAGTACCGTACCTATACTTAAAGGATTCCAAATATATTCACAGACTTCCTTCAAAGTCTCAAACCATAATATTCTTTCTACACAAACAGTTAATCACTATTTGGTAGAGCAAGGTCAACTGTCAACTTCAGGATGGAATTCTAATTTCGAAGGTTCATCTATTATTTCGACCCACCAAGACCACTCTTTCTATCCAACATCGTTATTTGAGGCAAAAAATGAACTTCTTAAAGGCTTAAAACACATACGCTAACTTGCTCAGTTTCTATAAAGTACCGTAAATGAGGTAACTTTGACCACTTTTTTTATTTTGAAACAATGCCATTTTTTTACTAGATAAGTTAAACTTAAATTGAAATGTGCAAAATACAGGTCTATACTGTAGCTTTACTCACCATAAATTGCTGTCTCCTGCCTCTCATAGTTTTGATGTAATTTCAAAAAAAGTGATGGTCTTTGTTGCCCCAGCTCTTGGGGTTTCTTTGACCGGGTGGTAAAATCAATTTTATTTTTTGGTAAAATAACTCCAAATAACTTCAGGTTGTGGTGCATTATAGTAGAACTCTTCTAGTTACTTATGCAAAAGACAGACTTTAGGAAAGTGTCATATTTGCAAATGGGGGCACCGCCCCTCAATGGGCGAAATGTGACCACTTAATGGCAGCCGTGACGGGGTAACAATGACCGGTTTGGAAATTAAGTTAAAATTACCATATATAAGACTCTGTAGAGTCTGAAACATAAAGAAAAAAACATTAATAGGTGTATCAAACATAAAATATGTTATATAGGTACCTGTGGTAATTTTAACTTAATTTCCAAGCCGGTCAATGTTACCCCGTCACAGCTGCCATCAGGTGGTCAAAGTCCCCCATTGGGGGGCGGCGCCCCCCATTTTCAAACTATAACACTTTTCTAAAATTTGTCTTTTGCATATGTAACTAGAAGAGTTCTACTACAATGCATCAAAACCTGGAGTTATTTTACCAAAAAATAAAAAAATTGGAGGGGGTCCACCGACAGGCTTTAAATAATAGCTCTTTTTCGTGGGTCACATTATTAATTTTTTAAACCGCACGGTAGCGGCGACCAGCTGCAGCACGCAGCCCGCCCGCAGTTGTGGAGTAGAATTCGTGGGGGAAGGTGTAGTGACCTTGACGCTCCAATTATGACAGAGCGCTCCAATTTCCCAAAAGCTCATGTTCTTTTATTTATACTATGGAATGCCACCATGTGTATGACGTCTCTATTATAACCATCTATGCATGCATGGAACTAAGACAAAACTTAATATAGAGGAAATAGTTGAGATGTATCGGAATTACCCACAATGACGGAATATGGTGGCGTTGCATTTATTTTACCCTATTGCACCATGGTCAGCTTTCTGCCCAATTTTCCAATTAGTAGTAGGCTTGGTGACAGTGACACAATTGCCAAGCTCTGCAAAGTGCAAATGCTGAGCTTGATCTAAATAAATGGGCTTTCATGAAACTATGAAACAAATTTTTTCATGCTATGAAAATAGATTTTGGCATTTTTCATGCACAAGTTAATTTGTAGTTATAAGTAATGACAAAGCAAGCTTCATCAACATTTGCCATAATCTTGATTCTCTAATTTACAGAAAATAACTTAAAAAGAAAGAATTTAGCATTTAATATATCTTTTTTATTAGTATCAGCAATGGGCCATCGGCAAAATTAAAATTTAATTTGTAAACAAGGATTACCTAAAATTTCTAGCACAATTAAAAATTGTCATTATATTGATGCAAATTTAAGAATTTGCACATGTAAATTCATTTCACAAAAGCTAATTTTAATGACAAATAAATGAAAAATATCGATTTGTCGTTTTTCAACTTCAGGTTTTCAAACGTAAACAAGCCAAAAATTTTATACGAACTCCACTGTTGCGATCCTGTCGACAAGTGATAGGCATGAAATCAATAGAAAAGGAAATTAACAAACCTGTCTAGTGATATTTTTTACATCAGCCATGACACTTTCAAAGGCAGCCGCATCTTCCATTTCTTTTGCATGTAATAATGCTATTTTTTCATTGAATTTTCTCGGCGGAGCCGCCATTTTGGACAATTGGTTGAACTGTTTGTTGTGTTCCATCACTAACAGGACATTGATTTTGACTACTATTAAAGCCTTCACAAAAGATGGAAATAAACACGGAAAAACTTAGAAAAACAGAGTTGAAAAAATGTTTCACAACCCTATTCAGTTAGTTTCATCCATTAAAAATCGCGATTTGCATTGGAGATTTTTAAAGAATACAAATCGCGACAGAATATTCCAGATGTTTTTTTAATTACACGTTTTTCCTGGCTATTGAAATTTTACTACCAACAAATAATCGGGAACTAAATACTAAATTTAAATACTTCGAAACGTGGATGGAAATTTTTGAACACAAATTTCTCAATTCCACGATGAACGCTAAAAAAATTATTGTGTTGCTACGGTTCAAAATTTTTCGAATGGCGTTTCAAATTAAATTAAACCCTTCACTGCTGTAGTTCATGTGAAATCCTGACAGCCAGTGTAAGGTGGAAGCTAGTATTAGAAAACGTGTCGGGCAAAAATTTAACCTGCAGTTTTGTTTTTGTTAGATCTAAACGAAGTGGTGGCCCAACACATCACGGTTTCGTTGTTCATGCCGTGAAACATCCCCATCAGCAAATCATAACTGGACCGTGTTTCATGAAATATCTCAATCATTAGGTAGATTAGTATCAATCAGGCAATTTACAGGTTTGGATGCTGTCTAGCGTAAACGCGGCTAATTTGCTGCAAAACGATTTAACTACAACGAAACGAATGAGCTGCAGCAAGATAATATAATGAAGTTTATCGGTCCTCTACTACAATTCTATCTCGCTCTTCCAAAAACATTCCAACATTTTGTATGCATTAACAAAACTCGCATCAATTTTAATGCTCTGTTTACGTTATTATAACGTCGTCTCCTAAATACTTGTCAACTTCTTTTAAATTTTATTAAAGCAGGAAAGTACAGGGATTTGGGTACTTTTTAAAGCACAAGGTTAAGTGAAACGTGCATTCATAGATCGTAATGCTTCTCATTAATTCACACACACCTCAAAACTTATGATGAAACTAAACTGCAGGCGGGGACGCGATAACTGCCACAAACGATGAAGGGAAATGAAGAACTATAGATGGAAAAACGGAAACAGACGCACCCCTGCTTCAGGTCTAAAACCACGTTGAAAATTATACCTGTAAAATACGGCACTTCAGAGAAGAAATCGTTGACTGATGGACAATAAAAAAAAATTGAAATGGACGCACAGTTTCGAAAATACACATAGGATATTATAAATTGGTTCCATAATTCCATGGGTATTTCAAAATATTAGGACTAAAGATAAGAAATCATGGTTTAACCTAGGAACCGGATGAATGAGGTTAATGAATGAGAGCAGATTCCCCAGCATATTCCTGCCCAGAAGTTATAAACGAGAATAAACCTAGACTTAGTTTACCAAACAAGATTCAAGGGGACAACTTAAGTGCGAGAAGTTGAGTTCTAATGCTGGAACAGAATTAACTAAAGAGAAAAGATAATAAGGCGCGAAAAGGTAACTAATAGTAAAGCTAAGAATAACTTCAATTAATGAAGTAGTAGCTATCAACATCAGCAGCTTAGATAAATTGAGGTAATAAGGAAAAGACAATTTCTTACAGCAGCTGGGCAACAAGGAACGCGTGACAATTAAACCGAAGACAAAAAAGGTGTTAGATAAATAATAATAATATTAATAATAATAATAGCAGTTTCAGTGTTGATTAGGCCGCAGGTCTGTCGCCGATTCTTAACATCGCAGAACATACACAGCTTGTTGTGGTTTCGAACTCGCAACTCACTGCTCCAATGTTGCTTTGCTTAACCGCCCGGCCTCCTCGCCGATTCTGACCAGAAACTGGCGCACAGAGCAGGGATCAAACCCGCACCTCCCTGCTAATCTGGTATAAACAGTAACCACTGGGCCACCTTGCATACGAGTTAAAAATATACGGGTTATCAATTCATGTTATCAGAACTTAAAATTATATTTTCAGCGCAAGATAACACGAATCTGACTCCAATCAGCCATATAATTTAAAAAAATTCAACCAGCATTTGTAAAATCCAGCGACGATTGGTGCCGTCTACAACGAAAGTTTCAAAAGTCTGACAAAAAAAAAACATTATTTATACAACGTACATTTCTTGGTGAACAGGTAGGGAGCAGTGGTGCAAAATTCAATTGCCAATTCACCTAGAGCAAATCACTCTAAAGATACAATAGATGTCAATTTATTAACTTCATAACAATATTCCCCCACCAAACGATAAATGCGTAAAATTTTTCGATTACCAATATCTGGGAAGAAGCGATTTATATGTCTAAATGAAAGCAGACAACTACAAGTGGAAGTAAAGTAAATGAAAATCGATAGATTTTTTAAATCATCTACATGGAAGTAAACCTATCATTTACGAAGAACTCAACAATAATTATATTGATATTAGCGAACATAGCACGTATAGAAACTGGGAAAAGTCCTCTAGATTTGGAGTTAATACATTATATCAGAGGCCGGGTTTGGGGGGTGGAAGACTTCGGCCTTATGTAGTCGGGAACGAGTGAGCGGTAATTACGGTACTTCCAGGATGTTTCAACTCGAGCAAATTCTCAAGAGTTTAAAAATAAAAATCCGGAAACTATAGGACGAAAAATGAAAATAAATAAGTAATGAATACATAATAGAAAGGAGACTAGGGCGAAAGCAATATGAATTCCCGAGTAGATGCTTGCCGATTCAGAATGACTAATTAGCTGCGTGACATTCTCGCCTAAGAAATAGAGAAGAAATGTAGTTTCAGAAAGGTGCAATGCTAACTGCGATTTTATCAGAAGACAAATATAATACAATAAATTCGGGATGTTGGCAACAAACAAGAGGTTAGTGCGTAGTAGTATTCAATTCCTAAACAGTCTTCAGATTGCGTCTAAACTAAGTCTAAGAAGTACAACAAATTCTAACAGCACTCAAGGACTAACTCAATACAGTTTAATTCGACCTTAAAGTATTCATCATAAAATATCAATACATATCAAACACGTGGATGATCGAAAGTTCCTTCGATATGCTCAGTTCATCATTTAAACTGCCAGGTGGCTAAGCTTTGTACAACGTAATTGCATTTTCGTTGAAGAACAACTAAAAAAAAATGCGAGTTCATTGTTGTGCAGTTCACCTCGTATGCATGGCAACTACATTGGTGATTCTTGTTCATGGTACAGATAATTAAACGGAAAGAAGCTTCACTTCCCTTCCACAAGTTCATTAATGCTGAATAAAGAATGGCGTGTCATTCGTAAACACCATTAGTTATGAAGTCGAGTGACGGGTACTAGTTTTTCAAGTGCTCAGAAAAAGCTTATATGCTTTGCGCCTAAAAAATAGTCGTCAATTACGTCATCATGATCGGTTTACTTGGGTTGCAATTCTTTCCATACAAAAGTAGGTAACAGAACCAATTTCCCTTCTGGCTGAGTAGACATCTACTTAGCTCAGTCCGGCGTAGGCACCTCCTTGTAACCTATGTTACGATTTCTTTGCGTTGAAATCATGTTGCATCTTGCGCCACTGTGCTGCACTGGCACCTTGTCAACTTTCTGATAGCCATTCCGTAGTGGATGCCGTCGAACCCAGTTAGCATGCAGCAGATGATGGCAGCTTTGCAAGGTCACTAGATGAATGGTGTTCGGCATGAGTACACCTTGCTTCTTTATCTTTGGGACGGCACATGGTCTTTACTCTATACCGAGTTAGTTCGGTCAGTGTTTCTTTTACAGTGCAATTTGGACGAATTCGCGTAATATACTAGGTCAACTGGGTCGCGGATGATGAACGGTGCACCACGTGCAGCGGTTGTTATGACGACATCGCCAACTGACTTGATCGCGATCAGGGTTTTGCTCTGTTGTGTATTGGACACGTCTACGAGTAGCATCCCATTTTTTGTTTCAGAGATCAATGTGGGTTAATTTTTCTATGTTTTTCTTCTGAAAATGTGTAAAAGTTCACAAGTTGATTAAGAATTTTTCTGGTAGTAAAAAATTCGTTCACATTCTGCCAAGTAACGTCGACTCACGGTAGAGGGTGGTAGTTCACTCGTCTGTTCCGTTCGGTTCCGGCGAAATTCTCAGAAGGTCCAGTCGACACCAGTGGTCTTGAAGTCAAGAACAATAAAAAAAATCAAGATACACTCTAAGTTTTCCAGTTTCACGGTTAGATTTAAAACCAAGGACAAGAACTTACCTTTAAACGGTTTACTTGATGTTGGAAGTTACAAAAAAAATCACTTCCCATTTTTGTACGACATTAGGGACTGCCTGACAAATTAACCATAGAACCAGTGTGGAGATTCGGTAAATTTATAATGTCGATATAATTTTAGGGTTTTAGATGTCAGGTCTACATGTGGAGGCTAGGCTCCATGCTCTCCGAAGTGGGCAAGGGGTACGAGTAAGATAAAGCAGCAGCGGCAGCCGCAGCTGTTGAGTGTTGCGCAGCTGCCTGAGACATCTCAAGTCTTCTGAGATACGCGGGATCTGATATGTGGTGTGAGAGGTACGCAGTTGGCTGGGATACGTGAGGCAGGTAGCTGTACTCCTGGGTTATATACTGCGTACCACCAGCAGCCCCGCCACCTCCTCCAACCTCAGCTTTCACCAGGTTGAAAGACTTCTCGCTGATGGCCGTAGCAGACGGGGAAGAAGATGGCGGGAGATTGGCCGGCCCAAGTGGTGGTGTGCCTGAGTTGGAAGTGTGATGGGATGGTGGTGGGGATCGTTCCCGAGCTCCTCTGCTTGACGTGGCAGGACCGCCGCTGTTGAAATATGCTGCAGCACTGGCAGCTGCCGCTTCATCGTCAGGCCTTTTATCCGACGTCGCAAGACTGATGCACTGAGCAGTGGCAGATATCCCGCCGACTGTGGTGATGGTTTGCTGCTGCGCTACCGCTGCAGTGTACTGCTGCTGTTGATGTGCTTGTTGTTGCTGTTGCTGCTGCTGCGCCTGCTGTAGTTGCTGGGCAGTCGAAGGTTGTTGTACGCGGTTAACCAAAGTGCCGGCTGATAAATTCATGTCCTTGGTTCTAAAAATTAGCCCGGGAGACACGCCAGTTTTCTCAAGAGTGACATTAGGAGTGACAGGTTGGTGCTGCAACATCGTCTTGTTTTCACTGTGCATGGCGTGGCTGCTGCGTTCAATGGAGACCAGAGGGCGAGGAGTTTGGCGTGAACGACGTTTAGTGGGAGGACGGCGAACTCCTGAAGAAACTTTGCCAAGACCTCTGAAGGTCCTCGACTCGGTGTTCAGCTTACGTCGAATGGCATTGCGAACTTGTTTCTCTGTGATCATCGGAAAGTTTCGTATGGCATCATCTGAAAGAAAAAAGAATTTATGAACATGTTCGAATCGGGCAATTGATGGACGTAAAAATCAACTGTGAACAAATCCCATGTTTATTCCTCATGAAAATAAGTCTCTCAATGAAACCTCATTTTATAATAGAGGTAATTCACTATAGAAAGAATACCAAGAATAGATAAGGGCAGAAATGACTAATTACTGTTCAAAAAGTTAAAACACTTACTAGTTATTACACGTATGATGTTGGGGTCGAGTTGATTTTTATTGCCCTGCGTTTTTCCTCTGTTGGCGAAGCACTCACCGCCCGTCAGGGAAGACATAGCCAGAACTTCGAGTGTGAAAAAATACCGCAATAAATCGTTGATGTAGCGGTTGGCGTTCGTGCGTCGGAGCTTCAGGTAGTCGGCCGCTGGGATGGAAATTCCATACCCAATGTCCAGCTGCAAAACAGAACATTTAAGTAGGAGGAATGTCAGTATTTTTACAGCAGTGGAAAGTTATGAAAGAAGAACGTTAAGCTTGTCACATTTTCTGAAGTTGATGAAATCTATGAAGGAACTGAGAAAATTTTCTTATTCAAGATCCAAAAGATGATTTACATCTAAAATACATGTTTTCAAAAGTACATTTAAACCTATTATAAGAGAAGGCATATTTTCATAGACTAAAAATATCAAATTAGCAAATTACTTAGCAACAAAAAGATATCAATTTCTAACATGCGGCTTGCCAAACAAGATTACTTCTGGATGAAATACAACGAGATGACTTTAAAAAATGGCCCAAAGAAAAGAACATTCAAATTCTAAACAATAAAAGAGTCTTCTTTACGTGAAGAAAACAAAACTGCATGATATCTGCATAGAAAAATCAACAAAAATATTACCTGTAAGAACAACATTTCAGTTTTAAATTAAAATTAATAGTAATAACACATGAAAGTACAAATTAACAACTAGTTAACGCAAGCCACACCTGATCATCACTGATTTTAGGCAGTTCAGGTACAGAAGCAGGAGGATGATCGATCATTCTGTGTAGAGGCTTCTTATGCATAGACTGTGACGAGGCAGACTGCGTTGAATGGTTCACACTTGCACCCATGGAGTGGTCATCAAGATCTGCTTCAGAGAAGTTACCCAGGGAACCTGAGGCGTCGTGGTCGCTGCTCACGGTCGTGTTGATGCTGTCGTAGGCTCGCTTACGGTCAGGGCTCAGGAACACTGAGGGTTCCAGGGAAGTTAGGGACAGGCGCTCTTCACCAGGCTGAGTTGCAGTGATGCCTGCAGCAAAGTGAATTAGGTTATGGGCGAATAATACAGCAAGTGTCACGTACAATATTACCATAGGTACCTGCTTCGTGAAATAATTTCAGTTCTTTCCTCATAACTTTCGGAGAAATAGACCTAGCAGCTTTTGAAAACCAGGGGCAAACTGTTCTTAACTAGGAAACAAAATTATGCAGAATTAAAAAAATGCAAATTTTTTCAAAAAATACGTAATCTGATGGATGACAAAAGATCTGAAAAAATTCCCTGGTAGCATTATATGGTTATTAATAATACAGTTAATAGTGATACAATAATAATACATACCTAGAGGGCTTGATTATTTTTTGCCATTGCCAGCGTTTGTTAAGTAGGTACCGGTACCTATGTTAATTCTCTAAGTTAAGATATTAGTCTATTTCAGGAGCCAAAATATCACTGGGATAAAGTCCATTGACTTTGCTCCCATCATTTCAGACACTTGACCGCGACTTGAAGTAATGAAAATTTTTTCAGACTCATTTGATGGCTTTTCGAGTTGGTTAACAAAAACAAATAACAGAAAAAATGAAGTTATTACGCAGATTCAACAAAATATATATAAATGTCATTACAAACATTTATTAGGACCAATGTTTTTCTTTTACATTTCACTATTATTATTACAAGAAAAAACAATACCGTATGCAAATTAGATTTCCACTCTAGTTAAAAATTAGGTTGAACATCGTTTTTTTAGGGAAAACATGAAATGGTTACTTGACACCACTAAAAAGATTATTTCTTCCACAATGTTGAGTTAAGAATGACCAAAAAACAATTTAAAAATTCAGATGAATTCAAGAAATAGGTACGGTATAACAAAATGCACTTTGGCATGATCGAGGTATCTGGTTGTCACTTTGTCAATCTTATATCATTGTAAAGTGCCTTGAATGACTTTAGAGCAAGTTAGAGGACCCTGTCATTGTTATATTACCTTATATATAGTGTACAGGTTTATGATACAGCCTAAATTGAAGCAGTTTTTTTATCAATCACTACTAATTCACTGCAGAGGTTGAGCAACTCATTGTTCATACCTGAATCAATCTGCTGCACAGCTTCCTGAGCAAACAGACCAAGCCCACGTATTTGTAATCCTTCAGCAGTCTTGAGCAGTGAGCTCAGAGCCGTCTTCTGGATATGGACCACTCCACGGTACATGAAATCCAGCAGAGCCTCCAAGTCACCGCAGTGAACATCCTTCATGAACACTGGGGGACAAAAGTAAATGTTTCAGCAAAAAAAAAGTTTACTATAAGGTCTTATTAGTTTCAATCTTATTCATAATTTAGGAAAGGAAACTTAAGGTTTCCTTATAATTATAGGGAATACGTGTAATTATAGGTAAATATACCGACGTGTTTAGAAGCATCAAAACAGTATAAATGCTGCTTTGGTACTACTAGCCAATAAATTGAAATATTTTTGATGGTAAATAATTTAAAGTATTCAGGTCTAATGGTGTTAAATATTACTTACCTATTGGATGTTTGCATGGATTTGAGGTGAACATTTCTTTGAAGTAATCACTGCACATGGAGAGGACAAATTTGTGTGCAGGTAGAAGCCTTCCATCGCAGGCCAAAGTAACGTCTATCATGGACTCCTGGAACAAGTCAAAGATCATATACATTATTTTTCTGGAACAAAAATTTGGGAAAGGTGACTAGGGGTAAAAAAATTCAGCATAATTTGGAAATTTTATAATGGAAAATTAAAAATTACCAACTTATACTGGTATGCACTTAGCAAAAACAGTTTTGGTGGAAGTTGTGCTTATATTAGAGGCAGAAATAAATAAGAGACTCAAAGCTATAAAAGAAATGGAGTTTTGAAATTTAAATGATTATGTATATATGAAATTTAATTTTACATTTTCAGAGTCAGAATCCTATGCAGAATATATATAGAATAATATAACTATTCAAAATTATGTAAATGTACTGGTCTATGTGATGAAACCCTTGAAGCTAGGAATCAGGCAAATAAGAGAGGAAATAATAACATTTAATATCATTAACATACGTCAATAAATACTGGTACTATAGCAGTACATCCAATAAAACATATCACCTACTGACTCTTCATCTTCATTTCATTGAAGACTTTCAAGAAATATTGACAAAAAAAATCATTCATAGATCTTTGCTAGTTTACAGCTCTCTGATCTGAGGATGTTGTTAGAATTAAAGATCCCAACAACTGGAGTGGCAGGTTTTCAAACAAATATAACAAAAATTATATGAAAACATATATACCTTTATTCAAAAATGAAGGTTTTATATATAAACACTTAATACATAAACACTATAAAACAATGAAAACGTCTAAAAAATTACAATAGAACTACCCAAATAAGTACTATCAGGAAATAAATTTTATGCACAGATTTCACCAATCGCAGCTGGGTCTGGAATGTAGCACCCATCTTCCTGTACTCACCTCTTCACGCAGACTGCTGAGAAGCTGGCTCATGGTTGCCATGTGATTATTCCAGCGTAATGCAATCATCTCTTCCTCCAGACCACCAGACCTGCAACAAACAAATTAAGAGATCAAATAATCAGTAACAGTAAAACTGCATACCTATTGTTTGAGAAGATCTGCAGACTAAAAATTAGTTCAGAGTTGCAAAGGAGGTACTGGTACCATCAAATGGGGTATTACGGGATGGGAAAGGTAAAGCTGGACACAGTCCTCTGTCATTTTGTAGAAACATTGCAGCTTAACTAAATGAAATACCTATTGCAAAACTTAAAAACGGTGGCGTAAAGTTCAACATTTTTTCTATCTATGTAGCATAAAGCAATTTACGAAATCATATATTTACTACCCCTAGAAAATCCCTGAAAAAATTATGAAAAGTGAGATTTTGGAGAAGTACCTCTGCTAAGGTCATAGCAAAAAAATATATTTGCTGTATTAAAAAAATTTACTTGCAAAAAAGTTGCACACAGGTGTTGACTTAAAAACGTGTTAGATGATACTATTAGACGAGTTCAATCCAAAAAAATTGCAGCTCTTTCTGCAAAACTGGGTACCAATAAGGAACACACCCCTGGGGTAATAAGGGACACCCCTAAAAATTCATTTAGAGTAGAACCTTGGTTAGCAAAGGCTCCAATTAACAAAAAAATCCATTAACAACAAAAAATTTTGATTACATTTACTTTGACCCACAAAAAAATTTCACTTGCCAAAAATAATGTATCATCGTTTATCACAAAATTGAGCATAAATTGTCATCAATAGAATTGTGCACCGGGTAACATAGAATGAAAAGTACCGTCAACCGGGGCTATTCGGGACAGGCGGGGCTACTCGGGACAGGCCTATGACACGGCGTAAAACTGTTGTAGTAGCGAAACTAATTGGAATATCGCAAAACTAAAAATAGTGGCATAAACGTAACAATTTTTCCTATCTATCTAGTATAAAGGAAGTCGAAAAATACTACATTTACTTGCTTTGAAAAATTCCTGAAAAAAATGGTGAAAAACTATGTTTTGTAAAGTTACAACTGCTAAGATATGTAGCAAAAAAAATATTCGCCGTATTAAAAAATTTTACTTACATAAAAGTTGCACCCAGGTGTCGGCTCGAAAACGTAATTGACAGAATTTGCCTATCTCATTGCAAAAAAAATTGGCAGCCATTTCCGCACGGCGGGGCTACTCGGGACACCCCCCCGGGGCTATTCGGGACAACCCCAAAAACGCATTAACAGCATGTTATTGGTTAGCAAAGGCTCCAGTAAATAAGAATTCTCATTTAATAGCAGAATTGTGATTTAGTATGATCTACCTATTTCTTCAAAAATGTCATGCTTGTTTCTAAATGATCCCTTTATTTTTCAGGTTTGCTTTTTCTTTTTCTCTTACAGAAAAGTCAATATAGAGCCTATTAAAATGGTGAGACATTATAAGCCCACAGGGAAAGTTGTACGAAGGAAATCGTATACAAGTGCTGATATGAAGGTGGCAGTAGAGAGTGTACTTGACGATGGCATGACCATTAGAGATGCAGCGCATATACATAATGTGCCTCGAAATACGCTGCATCGATATGTTGAAAAACGCAGGATTGCAGCGAATGCAAATAATGACTTTCTTCATATTGGGCACCCAACATCGCTTCTTGCGCATGAAGAAAGGATCATTGCCCAAAACCTAGTTGTTCTGGCTGATTGGGGGTGCCCTCTGAGCCATCTTGAGATACGAATGATTGTAAGGGAATTCTTAAATAAGAGTGGCAGGAAGGTCTCCACCTTCAAAAACAATCTGCCTGGCATCGACTGGGTTAATAATTTTGTTGCCCGATACAAGCACTTGCTCTCTACGAGAATGTGTCAGAATATCACCAAGAAAAGGGCAGAGATCTCAACTGAAGTCATCACAAAGTTTTTTGACAACATTGCCAATGTGCTGCAAGGCGTGCCTGCCACGAATATCATAAACTACGATGAGACAAATTTCACCAACGACCCTGGGAAGTCCCGGATGATCTTCAGGCGAGGGATTAAATACCCTGAGAGGGTGATGAATTTCAGCAAGACCAGCTATTCAGTGATGTTTGCAGGCACCGCTTCAGGGGAGCTTCTTCCACCTTATGTAGTTTATAAAGGTATGAGATTGAAAGAGACATGGACCGAAGGAGGCCCTCATGGCTGTCGCTACAATGTCAGTAAAAGTGGCTGGTTTGACGCTGACACGTTTTATGATTGGTTTAAAACTCTTCTGCTACCCTTCTGTAAGAATTTGCAAGGTCACAAAGTGGTAATTGGAGATAACCTCTCCTCTCATCTGCACCAGGACGTATTTCAACTTTGCAATGAAAACAACATAAGCTTCGTCTTTTTGCCACCCAACTCAACGCATCTTTTGCAGCCACTGGATGTGGTTTTCTATGCGCCATTGAAAAGGAAATGGCGTGAGACCCTTACAAATTGGAAGAAAACTTTTGGCAAGAACATTGCAACACTCCCAAAAGACTGGTTTCCACGACTCCTCTCAAACCTCTTGCACTCGATCAACAATGAAGTCAAGCACAATATGAGCATGGGCTTTCAAGCCACAGGATTGTACCCACTTGACAGGGAGCGCGTGCTCAGGAAACTTCGCAGAGAAACCACGCAAGAAGATATTGACACTACAAGGAACTTTGTCTCGCATGCTGTGCTTGACAAACTCCTAGAAATCCGCTCACCACCCACTGAAGCCAATAATGCACCCAAACGAAGAAAGGCTATCACGCTTACTCCTGGAAAGTCCCACACTGGGCCAAGGGCCAGTACTTCAGGTTCAGCAACAACACAAATCCAGAAGAAGCAGGGAGCAAATGTAAGGAGAGAGTTACAGTTCGACAAATATGCAGATGATGAGGAGAATGAGCTTGAATCAAATGATGGAACTGACCTTGCTGTTGCTCAAGACATGGCCAATCCTCAAGATGAGATGCAGGAACCTGACAAGGACATCTCTAAAATAATCGTTAATGAAAATGATTTTATCCTTGTTAGGTTCAAGTTAGATGGAAAGGTACAACGTGAGAAATTTTATGTTGCTCGCGTAAGAGAACAACCAAAAGACGATGACTGCGATGTCATGGTTGAATTCCTAAAGAAGAGCAGTGATACAAAAAAGATATCATTTGTCTACCCTGTTCAGCATGACATGGCTGCTGTTGAACGAGAGAACATCAGGCTCAAACTAACCCTAATGAGCACAAACCGAGGGAAGCACGTTTTTACTAACACGATGCTCAGCAGGTTGGCTGATACCGGTAGCCTTGGTTAGGCATACTCCATAAAAACATGAAGGCACCAGCACAGTTTTCTTTTAAGTTGTTAAGTTAAGTGCAATCATTCATGTATGAAGAGGAAGTTCTTTTATTAGTTTTGAAAGTTTGTGTTACAAAATGGAAAAAATAGTTTTGTTTAAAAAATGGATTTATATGTATAGAAATAAAGGAAAATTTGGAAAAAATTACAGAAAACATCTTCTATTTTACATCTACATCATCAACAAATGAAGAAGAGGATTTCAGAGTACTTTTTGTAATGGGTGAGTACATTCTGCATGCCGTAAATGTGTTAAAAGTAAGTTTTTTTGCATTTGTCCCGAATAGCCCCGACCGACGGGGCTATTCGGGACAAGCTCTATTTTGCGTCTGGCACCATACGAATAGCACATGGAATTTTTTTGACAATGCCATTCGATAGCCCTGCCAATTAGCTATAAAATGAAACTAAACTTGTTTATGAAATGTTTCATCGTAAGAAGTTATTAACTGTTGTTTAAAACTAATCGTTCAAATCTGTCCCGAATAGCCCCGGTTGACGGTATTACAACAGTTTTACGCAGATGTGTATAAGAGACAGGCTTTGGGCTGAACGAGGAACATATACAGGGGCC